TCTTATAGTTTTAACACTATTTATATCCAAAAGTTAGATTGCATGAAATCAGAATTGTTTATAAAGACTATAAAATAACAAAAAGTCAGCATAAATGCAACTTAAGTGTAGTAATGACAAGTAATAAATTTAGAGAAAAAGATCCAGAAATTGTGTTAACTTATCTCCTTGTTAGTTGGAAAGGGAACGAACGTTACGTCAACAGGTAAATCTAATCCTAAAGGCGTTACAAATGAGACGCGTCACGACAAAACCAACATAGTGCGTTTGCGACCAGCATGGATCCAGACCAGCCTGCGCATCCGCGCAGTCTGATCAGGATCCATGCTGTTCGATATCAGTTTCTCTGCTTGTAATAGGGTTGGTAAGCGAACAGGATGGATCCTGATCAGACTGCGCGGATGCGCAGGCTGGTCTGGATCCATGCTGGTCGCAAACGCACTATGTTGGTTTTGTCGTGACACGGCTCAAATTATTTTACTGGAATAAAACTGCTGATTCACATGAAATAAATCAAACTTGGATGAAAAACGTCATAGGTTACATCATATTTACAATAATATTTCTAATTATGTTATGAAGGAACGGTATTAGTTGCGTAAATAGAATATGTTCATGATTGCAGTTTTTAGCATATGATAATGACGTGTAAACTTAAGTTACTGTCATATTTCCGTCCATACGGAGTCTATAGTATATATTGATCCTGAAATTGACGCATAAGAATGTCATAAAGACGTCATTATAATACGTCAATGTACTCATTGCAAAATTACCACACTCCGGGCTGATAAGCAAGACAGAACATACATTTACGATTATTTACTCAAAACTTATTTAATGTCAAGAGTATCGATACAAGAAATATATATGACATGGTACATAATTGAAAAATCAGATAATTTAATGTTTAACTGATTTAATACTTCAATTTTAGTTAACTCAATATAAAGATAAGCTATAGTTTATGATAATATGGATTCTAGAAATGTTACAGTGTCAATGATGATAATTAAGCTATTGAAAGTTAACATTTCAGATGTGCTTTGTACATTAGGACAACACTTAATTTACATCAATTTAATTTAAATGACCAGTAAAGCGCGCTCATTGTTCGTTCTTATCCATAGTAAAATGCTATAGTAATTGCATGGATTATTTTCACTGAATCTGAAAATAAGAGTCTCCTTGGAAAGCAAGAAAAATCAATTGAAACGTGAAATAATGATATATCGAATAATCACATTATTTCACAATGTCAGTTAAATATTCATACACATTACAACTAAATCAAATATAGTGTTTTATAACATATATTCCTAAGTAAGCAATTAACATGTTTTTTATTGATCAAAACTTCACAACCACAAGTCTCTTAAACCACGCGACCAAGAATGTCACTATTATTGATGGAATTAATGAAATCTATATCAATAATATTCACATTACATATTTGTTTTTGGAGTGCTGAGTTATATTGGAAAATTACCTTGTGCCCGCCATACCTTGGCCAATAGCACCAATAAGTATTTTTATTCATGCGTATAATTCCTTTGTAGTGTTGTCACGATTCCATACCCCGGTGGGACCTAATATCTCCACGACATTAGAAAGTTTTTGCTTTGTGTGGGAAAATTCATAAAAGTCACAGAGTTTATGTGCAGAAACTGCTATGCATTGAAATGTCAGTTGAACTATCGCGAATAACATGTAGGTGGGAATTGATGAAATGTTAAACAATCATTTATAGAGTTATCGATGATAAAAGATAAAAAAAAAATAAATGAAAAATAATAAAAGGAAATTGTAATTAAAGAAACGGTGCCATTATGATACGTTCATTTGTGGAGAATAAGAATAAACGTCCTTGCATTTGAATTAACTTATAATCTTATTGTACTGAAATATACACATATGAAATTGAATAAGTATCCTGTCTACAGAATAAATCAAAACCATAGAAAAAGTCATTATAATTACGAATGACAATTTTTGTTTTCTTTTATTGCCTTTTGAAAAAGAACTTGTATAAAACACACACTATTATAACCTCAGTGTTTAAATATTTATCACTGCAAGTTATAAGCATTGGGAATCTCTATGTATTAATAATACAATATTAGTATTATAATAAAATACATGTACATACTTAATTAATAGAATAATAATTGCCAACCGTTTGAGATAAATAGTTCTTGCCTTAAAATTCCAAAATCAATATTATATTTTTATGTTCAAAACCCACTTGAGATGTTCTTATAGATTAATTAATTTTTATGTCAATCTTTGGATTCAAAAATGGTATTTTTTTTACATCTTTTCATTTTAGGAAATATTGGTAAATGCTATTTTTTCACATTTTAAAGTTGTTTGGCAAAACAAAATCTTTTTTGGTAGGTTACTTTTCAATTTATCTATGTTATAATACCTATGTTATAATACGTGTACACACGTATTATATAATAAACATATATGTTAATTAAAATTCCTGTTAATTTTAAATGACAATCAAATAACAATTAAAGATCTATATAATTTCAATAATTATTTTGTTCCGAAGCCTACACATTCAATGATTCTTGTATCGAGAAAGTAATTTTTATGAGTATTTTATCGTTGTTGATTACGAATATCGGATTTTGATTGTGTATATTTATACGCTTTACGACTATATTTTAATTTAAAATATTTCAATTATGTTATGGTTCTATGCAGTTAACATATATGAAGGTAACACACAGAATGGAAGTACTTTACATTGTGGCGGCATATTAGTAGTAGCTGTAAATGAAACTTCACGATTTCAGTTTCAAAATAAGTTAAAAAGAAAAGTGTACATATCCTGTTAGCTGTAAGAAACATAAGAAACTTTAATTTGAAACATATTTCGGTTCTTGTGAAACGCTGGAAATATGGCATTTAGATAAATACTACATGTACATTTTTTCAAAACTTTGAAAGTTTAAAACTATGATATTTTTACGGATTTAAGAGTCTTTATTATGATAAATGAAAAAAGTATTACATATAAGCAATTTTGCAATGTTCTGTGGTTTGAAAACATGACACAATAGCATATGTCTTTGCTTTAGTTTTGTAGCTTAAGTGCACACACATTATCGCTAAATATATTACACATATTCAATTAATAAAATACATTTAACAGTTATGTCACATTTGATAAAGGGTGCCTGTATTAAGCTTAGGTTGTGAATTTTAACATTATCACGTTAAATATCTTAAATTGGCGTGTCCATCATTCAACTGTGACAAAACCTTTCGTTATTTTTTTAAAAAAATTTCGCTTACTGAACAGTGCAAACCATTATCCCGACTGATCTTGGTCTGCACTCGTTGTATAAGTTAATTCAGTTGCCGCCAGTAGGCCCAAATCAGTATCTTTCCAATTCGACAGAAATGTAAATGCAGTTTAACCCAAACGTTCTTGTTAAAGGGTTGCTTTGCACAATTTGTTAGCAATACACAGTAATTTTATTTTGCTATCTAAATAATGTGTTTCAGATGAATAACAAATAAAAGTCTTTTATATCTGACTTGTGTCTAGAACAGTGTAATAAATATTTATATATTCCTAACTCTTAGGACAGATAATGTTTGAAATGTTTGTTTATTATAAGAAAAATATGTAAAAAAAAAGTATTTCACTTTTTGTTTATGATGGTTAATCCTTTTGATTAAATGATACAGCAAGTTATTTACAATGTGATTTGTTAATTTTAAGTACCAATAATGATTTAAATGTACTTTACTATCCATATTTTGTTAACATATCATTTAAAAAAGCCAATAAAGAGAGCAACAAAGCAAGTTTAAAAAAAGGCAATAGCCGAACATTATTCTTGCCATTTCAACGTTTTATGTAGGTGTTTCTGTTTGTTTATACATGTAAATCTTTGAGCAACTTGTTGGTGAAAGGCGAAAAGATAGGATGTGCTCTCCTAAGTCCCCCTTTAAGCTTTAAGAACAAAATGTGCATATAATTAAAAATGCTGCCGAAATGTCAAGCAAGTACATTTCCTATAGGGAAGTAATTAAAGGGAAATACACAACATACATTAAAAAGTCATTTGCGACGTCATTTGATTGTGGAAAAGCACGTAACTAATCAATTATTTCTAACATGTTCTCACAATGTAAGCCAAAATTGTATGTGAATAGAATTTTTCTAACAACTATATATTTAATAGTATCATTTATCTTAATATCAACACATTTCTCTTGAACAGTTACAAAGCCTATGTTTCTACTGTGATTATGGAACAATAATTATAAATATGACTGTATATGTATAACATGACTATTTTAGTACTTATACAGACATGTATGGTTTTACTCGGTTAACACATACAATTTCTATAAACAGTTTTATCTGATAACTTGTGACAATATTCACAAAACAGTTAGAGACATACTTTGAAATGTTGATTTGGAAGAATAATCATGAAATGTTTTCTTTCATCAAAACAAGCATCATTTAAAAATTAAAAGGTTAACCTTTGTAGACCTTCATGTTGTTTTGATGTAAACAGATGAAGCGTGCTCTATTTTCATTTGTCATGTCTTTCAGTGGAATGTATTGGTCATTTATAATTAACATCATCCACCTCATAGATATTTATGGTATCATCATTTTTTATAATCTCGAATGGTAAAAGAAAAAAGAACAAATAATAGCTATATATATAATAAATATATGGTCGCTAGGTAGCAGTCATCCACTCTCTCTACGCAGTTATGGCAGGCATATTGATGACGTCATAGCCCAGGTTTGTCTCCAATTGATTTTCCATTACAACGTTAAGACCGCCTTGACTTACAATAATATTTTATTTTTAGTTCGCTGTCACCAATATAAGAACTTTTCATTTTATTTTCCAGTGAGAAAGTGTTGATAATGGTTAATATTTTTAGGAACTTTACAAGTGATTTCATTGGAATAACGTCTACATGTGTCACATAATGTTTTCATTCAATTTCAGTTTAACAGTGAGAAATAACACAAATAAGCCGGACAGACCTGGGCCAAAAAATGCGGAACCAGTCAACGAAGAACCGTATGTAGCGTTCAAAATATTATAATTTCTTGTTTTTCTGATTTATCTTGAAATATGTTCTATTTAGAAATAACGCATGAAATCAAAGCTTCATGGAATGTAATGATACATAATTTGTCTTTTGATATTGGAAATTATGGCTTGATCTATATGGAGAACTTGGCTTTGTTATTGTGAAAATATCAAGCGTTTATTCCCTGGTTCCTGTTTTTCTCAGATTATCGATCGTCCTCTCGCTTGTCGTCGCTTATATGCTAATCTATTGCATCTTAAGTATTGGTACAATTCAGTGGGAAAAAATTACTTCCTATGTCTGTAACATACTGCAATTCGAATAAATTCACATTACATTTAATTTTATACTTAAAAAAAGATGAAACATTTTAATGAACCCAATATAAGACATAACTTGAGCAAAGTGAATTACATTTTACGGTTTTTGTATCATGATATGTAAAAATATGACTTGAAAATTTCAGTCTTACAATAGAAGAAATACGAAGTTGGGCGGAATCCTTCGACAAATTAATGAAAAGTAAGTACACCCATGATTCATGTTGTAAACACACGATTTTTTTAAAGTTAGTTATAGATTTATGCCTGAATTTGACGAGATTTTGGCTAACAATATGAAACAGCCATTAAGCATTTTTGTTTAAAGTAGATCTATTATTACATTATCAGGTACATTAAATGTAAATGAGAATAAAATTTTCGCCAAACTTCTTATTCAAATGTGACTAAAAAATCCTCGCATTGTACTATCAATAACATTCTGTCTGTGACTTTCAATATTCGCATTGCAACAATTTTTTTTATACGAAGTGAATTTGGAATTTGATGAAGGAATCTAAATTAAATGTTATAACGAATAGATTTTGAACCTTATTTTAACTCTGATTGGGGTTTTAAATTTCAATAAATTATTAAATTGTTATTAAATTATTTACTACTTTTAAGACAAAAATCTCTCCAACTGTACACATAAATTTGATAATATTGTGTATTGTATTTACATATTTTGTTTTATTTTATCATTTCAGAAGCAAGTAAGTACACAAAAGCAGTAGTTTTCTTAATGTTTAGTCACAATTCAGGTATAGTATGCAACATTTAGCAGGTCCAAGAAACATTATACTTGTTAAAGAAACTCCACTGTGGTATAAAAGCCTAAAAATATGTAATTTAAATTTCTTACATAGATGAACGGGAACACTTTAAACAGACAGATATGCAATACACAATTAAGAAGTGTAGTCAGTTAATAATGAAAATTGTATTTTGAGCTTTTCTTGATTAATTTCTTTTCAATTCTGGGTCATTTTTCACAATGGGAACAAATATTCTGGAAAAACGAAGTGAGTGAATTATCGAAAAATTTGCACACACGTTGCTTATATCGACCTTTATCAAAGGAAACATAAATATCGAAAATTTATTTCCAGTTCTGTCATGTCAAAAAAACCTCAGTGGAGTAATTTTGAATTATAATGTCATTATATATTGATCAGTAATTTGTCTAAAAGCAATACTTTGGTTTAATAACAAGACTTGTTAAACTTTCAAATAAAAAGGGACCATCTAGCTTCTTTGGTTTATGACTATATATAACGAGTATAAGTTTGTTAACGCATTGATGAAGTAATTTTTCTCACATTTGGAAAAAGGATCACAGGTTTCATAACATATACTCATATTTCATGATTTATAATAGAAATATGTGTTGCTTAGGTAAACACCTTACTGAGTATATAATGTTTAATATAAAAAAATCTGCGGTGAATTATACAAAGCTGTATTGGTGGACAATCGCTTTTTTTCATACATTTTATCTGTTTATTGCATACAGAGAAAAATAGTGTATTTTTAAGACTTTACATGTGAAAAGCCTATCCTTTATACCAAGTTTAGCTTTGTAAATTAAAATGAGAAACAAATGTATGTCCTTTTGTTCTTATATATATTGTACTCAAGGACTAATATATCTTGTACACTATCATATCATTGATTTGTTGCTAAACTACTTAATCGTCGGATATTACGGCTATCTGTTTTTTAACCCATTGTTTGGCTTTCCTGGATAACTAACCAGCAATTGCCAATGTCTCCTCAACTGACCGTTTACTACCTGTGAGAGACAAATGACCGTACAACAAAATGTTCGAGAAGATTAATTGTAACGGAGAAATTCCGCTTTGCCCGAGAATCGAACCAACAACCTCTGGATTACAAATTCCATGTTCTGCATATTGAGCTAACAGGACGGACAAATTTTATATCATATTCTTAAAACTATTTTTAATAGATTATCGTTAGTCCATAGACTATTCATAATGTATTTTGAGTGATTATAATAGCAACTAATTAATTGTCTGATTTGTATTACTTGTTATGTTTCAGCGGGTAGAAAAGTTTTCCGCGAGTTCTTACGTTCAGAATACAGCGAAGAAAATATGTTGTTTTGGTTAGCTTGTGAAGAATTGAAACAAGAACAGAGTTCTGAAGGCGTAGAAGAGAAAGCTAGGTTAATTTACGAAGATTATATATCTATACTATCGCCCAAAGAGGTAACCATATACACTTTGTTTGTCAACAACTGTTTTACTAATGTTATGATATCATTCACTTATACTACAGGAGTCAATCAATCAATGTATATTGATTTGGTCATCGTTATACAAGTACTTGATATGAAAGTACTTTTACGGTATGTAATATATTCAAAATAAAAAAAATAAAAATGAATCTTCAGTAAGCATAGTTTGTGTTGTTTACTGTTAGGGTTGATATTATATGATGTTCACACAAAAGTACATTTTCAGTTTCATATGGATTGCTGTTTCATTGTAAGAATCGCGTTCGTAGTTTGCTATTATTTTAATATAATTATATCACATATCAGGTAGGCAAAGACATTCAGTTATCTAATGAAATACACAATATTTGCTATTTTGTATTTCAGGTTAGTTTAGACTCCAGGGTTAGGGAAGTAATTAATCGGAATATGGTAGATCCCACTCCGCACACCTTTGATGAGGCACAATTACAAATATATACCTTAATGCATCGAGATTCTTATCCGAGATTCCTTAATTCTCAAATATATAAAAAACTTATACAGCAGTACTCATGAAGTAGGATTCTTATAGACTTATTGTTTGTTTTTTTGTGATCGCCGAGTGGGTGCCAGTGAAATTGAAAGTTAGCAGTTTCAGTATTGAGTGCTTAACAGAGTGTTAATTTGTATCATGAAATGTTTTATTATTTATCGGAGGGTATTGCCATATTGCGTTTGGCATCTCCCGTACCACCGGCGACAAACAGGTGTGCTAAAGTTGCAGCGAAAACTGACGCTAGTGCTTCACTCACTACAATAATTTGTTTTTATACAAGATTACCCTGTCCTCCACGAAGGAGATACTGACCCTAGGTGTATGAGCGTATAACAAATACGTGTATTAGTATTTAACAAAAATCTCATTGATGTACGCTTGACGCTATAAAATTCCAGACATCTTTGTTCGGCATCAGACGGCCAAATTTTAAAATGTTGTGTTATACCATGATCCTTTTCCAATTAAGGACATTGCATTACTGTGAATTTTACTTGCAGATGTGTTGTTTTTATGTACATCTATTGTATGTATGGTTCTTAAATAGCAGCCAATCGTTAATTATTTGACAACATTTTTTTATAGTTATTTATTTAATAACTTCGTTTTTTGTTATATGACCATGACAACCCTTGTTTTATTATAAACATGAGACAACTGAATGCTGAGAATTATTGTGACTAAGTTTCAGAATTAAGAGATGATGACTCTCGTGAATTTGAAACAGAGAATTTAAAATTTCTTGTAGACAACAAAATACGTTATATGTTTAAATCAATGTTGTTGTTGTTTTTGTTTATTCTATTTCATGGGAAGGGATGATATATTTATGGTATTTTCATACAACTTAAGCTCAATACCAGTTTGTGTAGAAACACTCACGTCGAAAAGGTATTTGACAAGGAAAAAACAAACACAAATGACCTTACTCGTCATGTATTTAAAACTGCAAACAAATATGTCTTTGTTCCTAATTGTAAAGGTAGTTATTTATATGAAATGAATGCAATTTCAAAGTTAAACTAAAATAAATGAGGGATCAGATTGTTTCCCTTCAATAAGGCAACCTCAATTACTTTGGAACATTATACTATTATTGCTGTACTAATGGTGTGTCATCAAATGGAACGTTGAACAGATCTATTATGTAGACCGAATCTGTACTTGACTTGCTGAACCTCTAATGCTAAGGCCGTCGTGAAACACGGTGAGAGAAATAAGTCTTCCGTCTTGATATTTATTTAAATACTGAATGGTAAGGTCAAATATGATACAGTTTTGTCACAAAGTGTGTGTTTTTATTGCAACATGTCCAATTTTTCTACATATCTTTGTAGCGTCTTGTGTGTCAAATAACATGTCTTGTGTTATTATTTACCATTCTTATGTTGCATTTGATTAAAACAAATAGCGACAAAGATATCTAAGAAGACGTCATTTAGAAAAGACCAAATATACCCAATTCACAGGTTCAAAGCATCAGCAATTAAAAATGTCGCGAAAATATATGAAATTTGATGTTGCATCTTAAGAATGTGTCTATGAATTAGTTGCTTGTTTTCATACAAGTAGTAAGTTAAATAAAGACGATCATTTGTAACATAAGCAAAGCCTTTTATGACATCAAAGTTTATATTTTTACATAATGAACTTGCAAAGAACAAAGAAAAACCATTTCAAGCACCTTTGTCAATGATACAATTGTATCATTATCCACCTTACTTTAAGTTGAACTGTAACTGTAGTTCCACTACATACAAGAAAATGACACATTTAAAATCATAGAATGAGCTTGTAATATCTTCTTAACATTAACAACTTAAAACGAGGCTTGCAATGCTAATATTGGTGACAAAAACGATGCAGATATAACGCTAGTCTTGTATGTAATATCGGATGTTGGCAATTCTTATATTGATGACAAAACGATGCTGATATAAAGCAAATCTTGTATCTAATATCAGACGTTGCCAATGCTAATATTGGTGATAAAATATTAAGAGATGATAGGTCATCAATCTTTTTAGTACAATTTAGGCCAAAATTCCACTCAAATAACCACGTGTATTTAAGGGACCAACTATTATTGTTAATCATAAATATTAATTGCTGTTTTTTTTATTGACGATTAGTTTTGCTTTTGATTTTTCTGTCTCGTATTTTGTTAATTACATTGCAATGATATGTGATCTGTAGAGAAGGGGCCATGAAACATTTTTACCATGGAACATTGCCCACTATGATCTTTGACAAAATAGTGTTATTATAGAGTGGATAGTTTATAAAAAATATTTTCTGTTTAGACTGTTTTAAGTATATCAAATAAAAATTTGTATGGTACCCTGAATTTCTAGACATCTAGAACCAATGAGATGCTATTAGGCTAATACTTTAATTACTTTCAAGAATTTATTCTTAAATTATAAAGTATGTGCATTTTTTTGTAATTTTCCTTGATCACCTTATTCTTTTATTTTTATTTATGAGTACAGTTTAAATGGCATGTCAAAGATAACCGTGCTTTAAAGAACAACATGAGTAATGACAAAGTAGAAGTTATAGTCGATCATGTTGTTAGTTTTCAAATCGTGTAAAATTTTTGTTAGACGGTATATGGTATCATTGTGAGGAGATTTTAATGTATACAGAACTTCTAAATGTCTTCTTAAATAATTCCTTTGTACCGATTTACCTCAAAAGCATAAATGGTCATCTTTCCTAATCGGCATTATCCCATTTCTATATTCATTAATCTATAAGCAGTTAGAGTAATATGAAAAAGTTAGGTATGCTTTAAATTCAATTAAGATGTTCAATGGACAATTTAAGTCGCCATTTACTTGATATATCAAAAATATTGTTTCAGCAAATATATTGGTGCAAACTTTATAACTGCCCGTTAATTTCGTCACACTTATTAACCAAATAATTAAACCTTATTTTGATTTTGGTATATCTCGGTAATGTTACTATTGAATTTATATTTGTTTCTTCAATCAAAACTGTTCATGATTGTATACCAAACATGCATTGCTATGATTAAATAATTGCTCTTTACACTTACTATTTCTATCTCATTTTACAAATAAACAAATACAAGTTGAAGGTTGTTTCAATGTTTACCGTTTCTCACTTGTTTTAATAGATACGTTTTTGTCTAGTTAATAGGTTTCCAATTATTGTTTATATTTGAGGAGATATGAATATATGTTTTAACAAAGTGCAATATTTATTTAATATGTTAAAAGTCTAATAGTTAATGTTTAATATTGTATATTTAGTTATGTTTTCTTCAACAATGTAGCAACTGCCTTCTGTTGTTTTCCTTTTAGGGTGTCGGAGGGTTTGGAATAGGGGAGGTATTCTCAAAAATATGACTTTGTTTAAACTTTCAATGCAAAATATGTTCTCAAGAGATGAGTTAATCTTTTAATTATTTTGTTTTGTTTAAGTTGTTAAGCATACATCAAAAAATGTCATGTAGAAAAATCCAACATCTAATGAAATTATATGCTGATTTGATAAAATATCAACATATATGCTTTCATAAATATGTTACATATGTTATACATAAAGTGAACACATTCATCATAATGAACATGAAATTCCGGTTTTGGTATTCTTTCTGTTCGAAAATACAAATATGAACTTGGCTTTAGCTGTTACCAATTTGTTAACTTGCAAAGTCGTAGCTGAAGTGACAAATGAGATGCTGATGTATTAGTTTATTAATACGGCTGGTTTGTTGAAGCAGTTTTACTAAAATAATTCTAAAACTTCTTCAACATTTGACATGTGAATACTACTCTGTGATTGCAATGTAAGTGTAAGATAACTGAATATCAGTATAATCTAAATTTTATGGTATTACAGAATGATTACCACCACCTGCTGTGTTACAGCAATGACAATATTAATACAGAAATACAACATTATTTTGGCAATATATATAGTTCTGTTTTATGCATATGAGAGAAGACATACATAAACCTAACTCTCAGCACAATAGTTAAAACCTTCAGGTTGTTACGTTATGCTCTAGAATAAATATATTTTATATGAATCATATTTTGTTTCAGAGAAATAACAAAAGTGTTTTGATATCGTCATGACATCATTGATAATTGGATTATTTCCCTTGTGATACTCGTCTAGTTGACAAAATTCCTTTTTACGATATTTGTAATAAGGCAAAAGTAATGTCTTCATTGGATTGACTTTGGACAAACAAACTTAGTTTTTAATAATAAAAAACATTGCTTTTTAAACATAATAGAAATATTACATTTTATTTAACTTTTAAATCTGTATCTTTCACGGTCTTTATTTTCAATTTCTGCTTAAAGAAAACTAATTTATTAGGGAATGAGACAAATTTTCTTTTTAATAAGTCATATAAAAAAGAACAATAATGATGTCACGTCGCACTTTCAATATCTTGTTGACGTGTATTTACGTCAGAAAAACGTTGCTCTTGACAACTTCAAATTAATTGATAAATGTTACAGATAAGTGATAATTTATTCATTACGTAAACGGATATGCGCAAAAAACGACGCTTTTAATGTTGTCATTATTTCTGTTCTTTTGAAAGTTTACAGAATTTCTTTCATTACATGACTTGTATCATAATTATATTTATATCTATGAATACCGGACAAAATATTTAAATGAAGTGACAGATTGATAAACATCTAAATTTATCGTGCATTTTCCTCCCACCAATAATAGTTCTTATTTTTTGTGTACAGTTTCATACACCAGTACTTATGTCATATGAACATCCATATTTAATTTACAGCTCAATTTACCGTCATTTAGAATACATCTCAACCGAAAGATAATTAACTACCCAAACGTTTTATTTTCTTGGAGATAGGACTTTTTGCATTTTAAAATCAAAATTCCTCATTTAATGACAGGTAAACTACAAAAATCATTTTGCAAAATAATTTCATGACCGAGGTTGATAATATTTTGTCTTATTTAAGATTTTACTTAAAATTTTACATTATTATTTTCCAGATTTTTTTAATGATATGCTTCCAAGATAATCTTTTAGAACAGTACAAAAATATTTTCAATTAGGTCCTCTTACATAATCAATTTTAGTTGTGTTTTAGTGTTAGTCATTTATTTCTTTCTCATTCGTTTTCTACTTTGATTATACTTTCGATGAAACCACCTGACATAGACGTTACGTATTGTATGTAAGGAAAAGATTCATTTGGAACACTGGTTCATCATAAATACAAAAAGATTTAATATTTTTCCTTCTTTATAATTAAGACAGATATAAACACTGAATTATCATGCTGTGCAAGGTGTAATAGTGAAAACAAAAATTATTTCAGGAGATGTAAATGTTGCCATCTTGTTATACATTTTTACATTTTGCACATTAAGTCATTTTGTTGTTTACGATGAAATATTTGTCTGTATTGTGTTTGATAATTAATGATTCAAATAGAATAAAATGTTTATTAAATTATTATTATTTAATAGTGTTTGTCTTTTCTTTTGTCTGAAACTAAAACTTTAACTTTTGTCATGCTTCAATAAATTAAAAAGCATATAACATAAAACCACATCATTTTATGAATTGAATTTTTAAACGGATGACCTATTGTGAACAGTACAAAACAAACAATCAAAAACATAATTTATCGAGTCTATTTGGAACCATCCTGGCAAAGGCAACATGACTCCTATTTACCCCATATCATGTATTGATGGACAAGAGAAATATAACAACTCAAAGGGCTGACCCAGCGAACATATTTGTTTTCCTTCCCTTATTGAAGTATCTGTCTGACAAGTCATAAAAGAACTACCGACTTGATTTTTCCAATAAATTAGAAACTAAAAAAGAGCTAAATGTTGAAATCAATTAAAAACAGTTCTCATTATGAAGGACTATCCATTAAAAATAAAGTTTATACAAAGTTTAAAACCTCACTGGCTTATTTACAAGGTGAAATACTAACACTTGATAAGTATTTAGAATTTTACAGCCTCGTTTATGAGAGTTGTGTTAAGTACATAACATAATTTTCCCTGTCAGTGAGCGTATATAAAGTGTAACTACGAGTATTTCCCCTCACTTTCATAAACAAATTATCATGGATTTCATTATAAACAGGACAGTATAGTAATACAAATGATAATCGTCCTCGGCACTGAAATTACAATTAAAACATGTCCTGTTAGATACATCCTTATTTTCATAGCGGCCAGTTTCCAGACGGACCGGAGCTACCATGGGCCTTGGTTTTGCTGAATCTCTTCTATGATGAAATGGTTCTTTAAACTGCAAACATCATGTTCCTGTTTGAATAAAATATATACTATGTTTGTTTCACTATTATTTCTGCTGTTACCATTTGTATTGATCATTTTCCTATTTTTAAGTGCTTATACCTATGTAACATATTTACATATTCGGAACCATTGCTTTTAACATCTAGGAGGACTCCTTCTAGCCTATTCAAAGATGATATAGTTAACTCTTTCATTATCCATGTTTGACATTCAAAGTTGTAGTACAAATTAACCACCAACTGACGCGCATTAATACCTCATGGCCCGATTTTGAATTGCAATAATGCAAAGGACGACCCGGTCATCCCAAATAGCTGCTCCATCATTCAAAACGGGTCAAACCGTACATTCGTATAGCTTTGAGAAATTGAGAATGATGTATATTGAAACCTTCCAACTAATCTGCTTTTACATACATTTCATGATAATCCATAAACTAATTCAATAAAGAATCCAAATACCAATAACTATGAACAACATCAATATTTGGTTACTAAAACCAAATCAGTTGCAATTGTTTTTTTTTCTAAAATGTATAACTCTACCTTTTTACAATTAACAGTTTTTGCTTTTGCATCACACCATATATACTGCGGTTGCATGTAAAATTAAGATTCTGCCAATATCACTACATCATCAGAGTAATATGCATACAATTTCAACTATTTTTATACCAACATTAAGATCTTTTCAGATAATCAATCATGTTGTTAATGTACATGTTAAAAAGTATTTGTATTAACGAGCATCCCTATTTGAGGCCTCAATTTTCATTAAAGCATGATATTTCAAATCCATTTAAATGTACTTTGATGCAACATTTCAAAATCTCTATAAAGTGAGTGTATCAATTAAAAAATGTTTACCATTGTAATTTAATAAATTTAACAAAATCGTATGTTTTTTAATCTATGTATCGGCAAATGTACATGTCTTTTGTAGTTTCCATAATTTTATGGTATTAGTAATCGAAGAAGTATGGTCTGTAGTACTGCAACCATTCACAAATCGAATTCTTCTCACCAGTGGTATTTTTTTATTTAATACATCAGAATACAACTTATACATGGTAATGCCTCTGAAGGAAGGTTCGTCACTAAGATCTGCCGTAAATCAGATCAGGTGCAATGACCCCTTTTCGGCCAGTCAGAAGCTACCATTCCACTGTTTAAGTAGTAGTTGAAAAGTTCTACCATCTTTACAGTTGCCGTTTCGTTTTTCATTAAATCTTCAGTGTTATCATCAAGCCCACATTGTGTGTTTCTCATGATATACCACAACATCTCCTCATGAGCAATAATACCGTCATAAACTTCCTCAGAGGCATCATCCAACTTCTGATGTGTAAAATCTGACATTCATAATCATTACAATCAGCATAGTATTAAATATTTTACAATAACGAGGCCTCAATTCTTTTCTCAAACAAACTCAAGGTCTTCACAAGACATACCATTTACAACCAAAAGGAATATGTTCATTACATACTTCCTACTGTACTGTACTGTAAATTTGGCAATTACCGTGTTAGCATCTAAGTTAAGCATATTAAGTGTAGGTCATGAATACTCTTTTATATACCTTAACTATCTGGGAATACTGTAATAGTTTTCGAACCTTGAAGATCGTTCGGCACGACATTATGATATTGTTGTGTTATTTGTGGTACTTTACGCTCCTTCTATTTCGTCTTTTTCTAGTTGGATGGTTACAGTATTCCTTCTGGAATACTGTATAATCATTCTTTAGATATGTTGCCTGCTCTTTGAATTTGTATTTGATGTTTTTTCTACTATATAACCTTTATAACCTCCGATCCCATGTCAAAATTCCATTCTATATAGTTCCGCCGATTGTTTTCTCCTTTAGGGCACATACATTCTTTTCATACACCGCTTTTCATGTAATGCCATGAACGTGTCATATTGAAGACAAGTTTGCTTCTTTAAAAAGAAGCATGCGAGAGGTACTTTTGCAGCTGTGAAAGATTTGTTAAATTCGAAAATATTTGGAGATATTTTTGCATAAAAGGCACAATGAATGTTTATAAATTACAATTAATTAACAAATAAGAATTTATTATCTATATTGAATATAGAATCATAATGAAAGTTTGTTTTATATTCATATTTTAATAAATGAATTAATCATGATCAGAATTTTATAGCCTTTATTTGAATTTTACCATTTTTGTATTATTTTTGCTTCTGAAATAATGTACTATAAATGGAAGGAATATAACTTACTACAATATAATCAGGATCAAAATAACTTTTACATCCAAGTATTGTGCAATAAAAACAATGAAATAACAAAGTGAACGTAAGTAATGTGCTTTGCAGTATAAATCTAAATGAATTACGTCTATATATTATTCTTTAAATAACAGTAAATCAGTAAATTATTTGAATTGCTAACAAAACACTTTGAAACTTCAAACACTTTTAAAGTTGATATCTTTTTTCCTATCATATGCCATAAAATCATGGGTAGGGGAATTTAAAATATCGAGAAGGCCAGTGGGGTACCTCTTCTCTTAGGATTTTACTAATAAGCACAATGATCACTTTCAAAATATCTTTCGTCATCTTATTGTTTCAGATTTCACAACAAGTGAGGCTTTACGCAATCGTGAAATGGCTGCGAAGGAATGGTCAACTGTGCACTGCATACCTTTAGAAAAGCTGAATAAAATGCTACCTAGACGACTGCGCAGTTGTTGAAATTCAAGGGGAAGCGTTACGACTACCATCCGTAATAGTACTGTGACAGGACGGTATGCTTTTACAAGACAATGTCGTATTGTGCCAGGAATCCGACACCATGTATCTTATTTATTTATAGACAGTGCTAACACGCTCGTAATGGTCGTAACGGTTTATCCTATTGCCTTGTACATTAATTAATTATATTTCGATTAAACGATAAATAAACTTCTTAATCAATGCGCATTATTTCTCAGAAACGAATAAATATTTCCTTCTTTAGAAAGGGCAAACATGAGTTTTGTAATGTTTAAATAATGGTTCTAGAGCATATTAGATGCTTATAACCTGAAGAAAGTAGCCATGAGTGTGAAATTATTTGTTATAAAAGTAGTAAAATTTAAACAAAGAAGTAGTTAGAATTCCGTACAAAATACTAAATCACTATTTTTGTTCGAATGACAAAAGGTAGCAGAGCAAAAGATGGTTCAGGTAATTGTCCAATGAGTAATTTTGGAAACTATAGCAGGACACTAAAATAAATAATAAACATTTTGAGAAATAGAAATAAAAGCATATCTGGGACATAATGGGCATTTAATAAGCAAAATACCACCGATCAAACATCAATTTTGAGCATAAACATAGTATATAAGACATTAAAGGCACCAGACCCGTTTAGCTAACCAAAATAAAAAGCACACGTGTGACATCGCTTTACTATATAAGAAATAGGTCTGCACAGCACTATCCAAATCATCTCAAAAGAAAAACTATAAAGATATAAACATTTTTTTTTTCAAAACTAAGTTGTTTTCTAGTTTCTAGAAGTAAACAAATGGATAGGTTGAAACAAATCATATGTTTTATGGCAATGCACTGCAACAGCTCACTGATATTAAGTCTCGGTAATCTACAGCCATTACATGAAAATAGACAGTTGCACAGTCCATTACTTATATACCAGGGTAACAAAATCATTGTCTTTCCATTTCAAAGAAATGTAAATAAAAAATGTTTTGCGACAAAGCAAGAAATATAAAATAGCTCTTGAAGTGTAAAGCTGATGTATGTCAATGCTGTTTTGTACTTGTATTTTAATTGATGAATCGAAAAATAAATCGTGTAATATTCAAAATCATGTAAGACGCGACTGCTTCGCTACCGAATCAAGAAACATGTCTGATATGATTAAATATCATAATCAATTGAGCTCACATGTGTGTTTAAACAATTCTTACGGTGACTATCTAATGTGAATGAACATTTTACTCTTGACCCAGTAACAGTAATTTTTGCATGACAGTGACTTCAAATGATATATGATTATTTAGACATCAGGACAGTTTTTAACATATGCATATTCCATGGTTGCACATATTTAGAAGTTTCATACAATATTCTATTTTTGCGTCCAACACAATAGCAGCTGACCTGACGCTCTTCAAATGCATTTTTTGCTTCTGTATCACGCAC